CTAAGAAATATTTTCCTAAGCAAAGTTTTTAAGCTAAGAAAACTTTAGTAAACATAAGAAAACTTTTCTGAGAAAAAAATCAAATATCTTATACAGATTTTATAGAGATTTTATATAAATGTGTTAGATGTTTCTTTTAATTGATACATTCTTTGTATCATACATATCCTATGTTAAATTTCAATACATATTACATATATGTTAATACATATTACATATATGTTAGTGTACATCGTACATATATTTGTGTTTGTTTATATGTGATTTTTTTGAGTTACTTTTGTCTTAATCATGGTAACATCTATATAAAGTTTATAACAATGTTACTCATTTGCAATTCAGTAGGATTTTTATTTAGTTCCTAATATCCATTCACCATAAGCTTGGCAGGAAATGAACACTAATGTATGTGCTCACACACACTCACACCACTAAACACACAAATATCACTGAGCCTATAAAGTGAAATACTTTAGACAAAGTTTCCTCTAAGAAAATAGAAGAATGTAAACATGACAAATTAATTAATCTAAAGCAAAACTATAACAATTCTCATTTTATAATTAAGAAAAAAATTGGACCTTCCTACCTAAAATTAAAATAGTTTAAAAAGAATTAATATGGGCTTGGCATTTTACCTGGAGGTAAGTACATGTTAACTCTCTGTTGATAATAATGTGTTTTTGTTTGAAAGTTAAGAAACATCTTCAACATTCAATTCCCATTTAACCCCCACTAATTTTTCTCTCGGTAAGGAAAAAAATACACAAAAGGAAGGGAGGCAAACGGAAATTTTGATTTGAATATAGATATAGTGTGGAATCCTTATTGCAATTAATGTTACTTTAATTCTTGGACTGATTTGTAAAAGGAGGGTTAACATCACTGTTACTTAGAGTGGTTAAAACAGTATATGGTTAGCACATAAGGTGACACAAGGGGCATGCTTGGTTCACAGAGGCATATACAGAAGTTAGTTTCTGCCATAATCTCTGAATTGGGCATAGATTTGAGAGAAAATGCTGTAAAAGAAAAGACTGAACAATCAATTCATTCTCAACTGTGCTTTAGTCATTCCAAAAAGGTACTGATTCCCAATACTTTTCTTCCCAGTGTACGTAGTTCTTAATGGCTTGTGCAGTTCCAGATGTTCAGTCAGAAATGACAGGAAGAAGGAAGGGAATGGAGGAACTAAGAAGGGAAGACAGAAGGCTTAGAGAGAGGGAAAGAAGGGATACCACTTCATTTCATGCTACTTGTCACTGTGGTTGAAAAATAGAAAATGAACAAATGAATAAGCTATAAATACTGCTGGCCAAGCATCTGCAGCACATTAAACCTTTAGCAGAGCAATATATATTTCTTTTGTATTTGAGCTCTCCCATTCAATCTTTTGTCCTCTCTCTCCCATTCAATCTGTTTCTCATATTCTTCCAGATAATTACAGTAGAAACAAAATCATCATTCTGCAACAGCATAGCAATATGTGTGCAAAGTTGATCTTGGAAAACCAATAAGGCATAAAATAAAATAAAAAATAAATCCCAAACAGGTTTTTTATTTAACATAAGGCCAAAGAAGCTATCAGGCGTTGCTGAATACTGTCCACTAACTGTACAAAATATTGACTGCATGCCTCGCAAACACCAAAATATTCGTTGGAATGCCATAGAAATAAATAACTTCTGTTATAAACACATGAAAACATATCAAACTGTTATCTCTTTAAACACATTGAAATAAAAAATTACCAGTACTTCTACATAATAAATATTAAGAAACCATTGACATAGTTGAAATGCACTCATATAAATTAACAAGTTTAATTACATTAGCCAAACAGACATTGGTTAAAGAACTGCATGTATTATGCCAAAAATATAAACAAAATAAAAACAAACAAACAAACATCAACCACAGAACATAAACAATTTTAGAACAAAACAGGCTTCAGAATACCTTGGCTTTCATTATTATATTTTTCTTTTAAAGAAAAATATCAACCCATTGTCAATGCATTCTTTTTCAAAGCATTTAAATAGAGGGAAAAACCCATCAGAAATTAATACAGAAGAAACAATTCACTTTATGCAGAAAAATAAATAATAATATAGCTGAGACATGTGGTTTACTTCTGCTCTTTAAAATGTGAACAGCTTCTAAGCACTCATATTCTCTGACCCATACAACAGCCTCTCAGTGCTAAAGGGTTTAATTTAAACACATACAATGTCCACCCCCAAACTTTCTGCCCACATCTACAAGTTTCATTTGCTGTGTAGGTTTTCAGGGTGACTAAGTTTTTCTCTTCATTGAAAAAGGAAGTTGCCAAAAGCCCACAGGAAATCTTTTTTTTTTCAAAGTGAGTATGATAATCTGAATTTAAGCTTAATACAACTGAGGGGTTTGTGTACTCTGTGTTTTAGAGTTAACTTCTTGAGATCCAGTCTCACAGGGTAAAAAAAAATTTCATTTGCTCTACTTTAAAGGAGAATGCACGCACTATTCTTGAAAATAAGTTGTGGAATCAATCTTAAATATATATAAAATTTCTTGGTCTTCAGTAACAGAAAACCTTAATTTGGGGTGCTGCAACTTAAAATTTGGTGGAAAAGAACAAAAGAAACTAAGATTTAAAAAATGATATTTCAATCTATGAAATTATCAAAAGGTACCTAGGAAAATGCTTTTTTTTTTACTGGAGTGGGTAGATAATTTAGAATCTACAGATTAGTCCTAGAAAGACAGTAGATAGAGCAATCTTTGCTGAGGGAAAAACACACTATGGTAGAATTTAAAATTTTTTTCTTTTGGACTTGTGCTGGTTACATGAAGATGGGTGTTTGCAAGTTTCCTATCTTCCAAGATTATTAATTACAGTAGCAATTCTATTTCAATGCCATATAAATTTAGTGAGGTTAGGTTAAAGTTTGTGGATATGTGATAATCCAATCATTTAAGTGCACTTAGATGACTTAATTTAAATTAAATCATCCCATTAAAATGTTGTCCTATGAAATTTTATTTTCTTTGCTTCTAATTACTCTGGTCACTAATGAAAGCCCACATTGCTTCCAGTGTGGTGAGAATTAAAGGCTCTGCTGGATGGCAAACACATTTGAGAAGAATGGGAGTTCTAAGCAGGTACCAGTCAGCTTTTTCACTTCTTGCTTTTTCCATTGCATGCCATCTCCACCATTGCACAGTGAAGTAGGAATTGGCTGCCCAAACTATTCCCACAATTTCCAATTTCCACTTTCTTTTACAATAACAAAAGAGAGGCAGTTTAAAAAGCAATCACAAGTTGTCACCAAAGTTTGTAAAGGTGGACATCTCCATCTCCGTTCCTTAGGACTTTCCTCTCCCTCACCTACCTTCCCACATGCATTATTTCCTAACAAATGGTTAAGAGAAAATAGTATCAATGCTGCATTTTCTGCCTTTAATTATAATCTAATTCCATTCATTTCATTTTATATTTTCTGCTTAAGAATGGGTGAAAATCCAAAAGGTTAAAAGAATGACTCCCTGGCCATGTCCTTAAAGAAATTTGCCTACAAACAATATTTCTCTAGAACAGTTAAACCACCTTTTACAACGTTTGGTTCCTTACCAATACTTCCTGCCCCACCCATAATAATATATCTTTTAAAATCTAGGAATGAGCATAGGGCTGAAAGCTTCAATGTTTTACAAAATGTTAATGAATTAATCTTTTCCAATTTTTAAAAATATTTTTCAATATTTTTCAAACTTAAAACAAGCCAATAAAAATAAGACTCTGTAGTTTAAATGCACATAAATGAATAACTTATTAGCTCTTCTAGGTAAGCTAAAGACTGCAAAATAAATTAGTAGAAATTTAGCTTTAAGCATGTACTTTAATATTCATAAAGGTATTTTTAACTTTTTTGCATCTGAATTCCTACATACAAACTTACACATCAAAAATGTGGTATTAAATTATAACAGTAAGAATTTTTCACTATTGCCTCAATCCCTGCCTCCTATTTTCTTTTTTATTCCCACTCTCTTAATACTTTGCCCTCAATTATCTTCCAACTAGTAACAATGTTATTTAACCCAGCTATGCAGGCAATATCTCCCACAGAAAGATTCATATATATATATAAAAAATTAAAGCATCAACTTTTATTCTGACCTAAAGATTGCTTTTCTTTCTGAAAAAGATTTTGATTTAAGATTGATTCCAATAGACAGTAAGTTACAGGGGGGAAAAATAAAGATTTGATTAAAAATTTCCTGTTTTTTCCTGCAGGAGCAGAGAATAACTTGTAGTATGGGGTGGAGGCAAGAAAGAGAAGGGAAAAGAATCCCTGTGAGAGGGTCTTGCTGAACTCCCACTGGGATTTCCAGACATTTTCCCAGCCAAATATTTGAAATGTGCCCACCTAGTTCAGAGTAAAAGCAAAAACTATAGCCTATCCTTCTTAAAAATACTGTGTTTTGCACACAAACATTCATTGCTTTAAGAACATTTAAAAATGACAGCCTGAAGTGCTTAAGATGTGTATGGACATGGTGCAGTACATGTATATATACACACAGATATGCAGATGCACGAGCAATGTATATATACACATACAAGCATGTGGTACTCTATGAACGTGATGGAACTTGGCTTCAACAGTGTACAACTACTGTACATCCAGAATGAAATGTCCTGTTTCGTGGATGTAAAAGGAGTCAAAAATCAAACTTTTCAGGTCTTTTAAGCCTGAACACAATCCATCCAATTCACCTTGAATCCCAACACCTGACTCCCTGATGAAGAATGATGTCAACCACAGACAGACTGTTTAAAGGCCCACACAAATGTCTTTGGTGTATGTGTCTATTTTTTAAGGTACAAAATAATAATAATAATTATAATTATAATAATAAAAATAGCTATTTTTGTGTGCTGTAGCAGTTCTTTTATAGCTCACATTAAGTGCAGCTCTTAACCCTCCCACCCCCACCCAAAGAAAATACTTGTTAAATAAGGATTAGACAGGTCAAACACCGTTGTAGTGCAAATAGTAAACGATAAAAAAAAACAACATTTACAAAATATAGAAATGTTTGGATCCAACAGATGGACAAACATATTCCTTTCAAGTATCTCTCCTTGAAGAAAATAAAAATTAATCAGATTACTTCCAATACAAAAAAGTCTCTCTTTCCGTTCTATCTCAGGTAAACAGTTTCAAACCCATTAGGTTGCATAGTTCTAAGATCATTAAGCACCTTAACGAAATGTCACTTGGTTTTCTTTTTCCTTGATCTTTCTCTCTTTCCATTCTTGTTCTTTTTTTTTTAATGTCTGGGGTTTTTTTTTGTGTTGTGTTGTGTTGTGAAAGTGGTGCAGAAAAAGAAAGTGTGATCACCAGCACACCATTGTTCTTTGATCAAGATCTGGTGTGTTGAAATGCCTCTGAGCATATGTCTGTGTGGATGGTGTGTGTGTATGAGTACCTGTATTTGTGTACTGTAGTGTATATATGTAAAGGCTGAGGTGTGGATGTGAATGTAGTGTGCATGTGGGGTGCATGTGTTTCTATGTTCTGTGCTGTGTGTGTGCGTGTGTGTGTGTGTGTGTGTGTGTGTGTGTGTGTCTGTGCTTGCACAGGCTGCAATACACAAAGAGAGGGCTCCACAGACATAACTTATGACCTGGTTAACTGGGTAGGAAAGTGCCTGTAACTGGCCCTTTCAAACTCATGGCTTTCTCGCTGCTATCTGCATTGTGCGAGTCTGCCTTGTGCAGACTAGACGAGTTGACTGCGAGGCTCACACTGAAAGCAAAGTGAAAAGGAGAGGATAGTGCTCTCATGGAAGCAACCAGCAGTTGGCATCACCATGGTTTTGATTTGGAGAGAAATGTAGGGTCTGTGCTTTTCCCTCCCCCACGCTTATTCCCATCTCCTTCACTGCTTCATCTCTGAGCCCTGGCTAAGAAATTTTTCCACATCTTCCTTCAACTGCCTCAGGTTTTGATTTTAGGTTTTAACTTTGTTTTGTTTTTGTCTTTGTTTTTTTGTTTTTTTTTTTGTTTTTGTTTTTGACTTTCTTTTTACTCTGGTGGTTGAACTCAGAAACCTTAATAATGTCTTCATTTTGCCACTGTCTTCCCTGGACAACTCCTGTTCCCGTCCCTCCCCCGCCCCACCCCAAGACTGGGTGCTCTATGAGCATCCACACTCCTCTACTATCATGTTCTGGATATCCTTCTTGATGATGTTTTGCCCGTCATCATAGTACAGCATGGACATGGGTCTCAGCTTGGTGGGCACACAGCATGACTTGAGGTTGGCAAAGGGGCTGTGCCCCCGCATGCGGTAGTGGTTGATGACGGTGGAGTGGAAGGAGAGGGAGGAGCCCGACGTGCCAGCTATGTGACTCGGGCACTCACCCTCACAGTAGTTGGCATGGTATCCCGAGGGAGCAATGATCCAGTCATTCCAGCCGATGTCCTTGAAGCTGACGTAAAACTGTTTCTTACAGCAGATGTTGACCCTGCCATCACACTCCAAGCCCCGCCGGCGTCGGCGATGAGGATGGTCTTCAGACTGTCGGGCCTGAAGCATGAGGAATGGCCTATGGGACTGCTCCTTCTCCTCTTCTCCTCCTGCCCCTCCGTCTCCATCCTTCTTGTCCTTCTTCTTGCCTTCCCCCTCCTCATCTTTCTTCTTCTTCTTGCCCAGGAGCACGAGACTGGCACCTGTCTCATGGCATTGCTCACAGGCAATCCGAACATCCAGGGAACTTCTGCCCTGGTCCAGTAATCGCTGGATACTGCTGGAGACAGGGAAGATGTGCCAAGTGCTTTTCCGAGCATCCACCACCTTCTCTGATATCAACTGTTCACTCCTCTCCTCCATGAAGCCGCCTTCCTCGGCCTCCTCCCCTGTGTCTATGCCACCTTGGGGGTGCTTCTGCTGTTGGAAGAGCCGGATGGTGACTTTGGTCCTATTCCTGTTGGCCTTGGGGACTTTTAAGAAAAGCCAGACTTCTGCACGTTCCACCACTGACAAGTCACTGCCTTCTTTGGAAATCTCAAAGTGCAGTGTCTTCTTGGCTGTGCCTGAAGATGGAACATGATACAAAAGAGAGTAGGGACACACATTAGCTTGGGGATTGGAATCTGTTCATAAGCTTTAGGCAAGCACTGATCTACCTGGGCGGACCATCACAAACAGATGTAAGCAAATTAAGCCTGCCATTATTAGAATAGATTTAATGTTTGAAAAGATGGAAGAAATATTTCATGACATGTCAAAATTGTATCAAGTTACGCTTTAGTACCTGTACATAGACAGTATTGGATCTTAGTTTATTTATTCATTTATGGGTTGTTTGTGGCTATTTTAGCACTATAATATGCTCCTGAGCTAGAGTCTCTAGTCCACAAAATATAAAATATTTTAATCCTGGCCCTTTAAGTAGTTTTGGTTTTTGTTTAACTTTTGCTCCAGAAAGAACAAAGTCCTGGTCTGAGGGGCTTGAGAATCTGTGTCTGCTGCCTAATCTATGAAACGGGAATGCAACACTGCATTAATGAAAACTCCCTGCAACTCTAGCAAACTGTAAAAAGACATTTTCCCCACATAAATACATAAATTCCCTCCACTAATTCTGCGTGGCACATTCTCCTGAGGTGAACCTTCTTCCTAGGACAACCTATTTACCTCTCTTCCCACTCCCCTTAGCTGTTGCCTAGAGCCAGGAAGATGACTTCTCTGGAACAAGCTTTTCTCACATTGAAACATGCCCCTGAGCAATCAGTTCTCTATTCAAGGGGTGGAGAAATCTTTCCTCAAGGCAGGTATGATTACTTTGCTCCTTTCCACTGAGTTCTTCTTACCTTAGACTAGCACCAAGGGTTCCTAGCATGCTAGGATAGCCCTAAATGGCTCTGCCAACAGTCCTGTCCTCTGTAGTTCAACTCCACAGGGTTTATTTAATGTCATGGTTTTCCTGCCTACTCTCTCACCTCCAGACACTAAGATCTGCTCTTCTTTCTGCCCAAAATACTTCTGTATTAATACAAATATGTTGCCCTTTGTGGTTACCCTCCTCTAAGATTTCAGTTCTCAGATGAAAGGACAGTTCTAGACATCTCTGCATGAAAATAACCTGGACCTCAGGCTCTCTTAATCACATTCAACATCATGGTGCAGTGCTTAGCCAAAAGCAGACAATATCTCCAATCCTTATTAGCAAATGCTAAATTAGCTATAGCATTGGAGAGAGTCCCCCAGTTTTGCCTCCTTCCCATTTAAAGGCAGCTAACTGAATATGAATTATTATATCTGCAGCTGAAACAGAGGAAATCTACATTGGCATCAGAGTTGTATCAGTTGTGGCTACTCAGTTCTTGCTGAGTTCTCAAATCAGGAAGTCTTCTGTTTCCTTCTCTTTCAAATAAGTACCTCACCTGTATGCATATTTATGCAATAACATTTGATGTAAGGAGCAGGTGCCCAGATTCAAAATTTTTAATTAATCAAGTATTTTCCATTATTTCTAGTGTATCATTCAGTGATCTCCGAACTATGCCGTTTTCTTGACCACTTTCCCTGTCAGTGCACTGATAACTGGCAGGCATGCCTACATCCTATGCACCAATCTGAAAGCATCTTAAAGTTCACCTTAGAACTTGCAACTCCCTAGGAGGTTCTTCCTGCCCGGGTTTCTAGAGTTATCAGAAATCCAGCCATACTTATCACTCTCAGCCCTGAGATGTTTGCGGTACTATAAATTTTAGGCACAGTTTCAAATTCCCTGTGGCAGAAGGGAGGTTTTTCTGTGCATTGCACACTGTAGATTCTGTTCTTAATTTAACACACTGCACTCCGTGATTACAAGAGTGGTAAATTCACTGAAGCTGAGGCAAGGGATAGCTGAGTATGTATAGGTTCTCAGACATCCTAGCCTAAACTACCAGAAACTGGCCACCATGGAGGCGGATGTGCTGGTTTTGGTACTGGTTACGCACAGGAGGTGGTCCTGAAACCTTCGCACAGACCTCCAGCCTCCAGAGTTGAAATGAATAATAACCCTGAGTACATGATTAGCTCACCAAAGCCAGAAACTATGTTTTTTAGGAAGCATAATGACTTTTGTTTCCAAATGTGTGTTCTTCACTAAGCATTGAGTGATGGGGGAGGGGGAGGAGAGGGCACAGGGTTTTGTTTTGTTGTTGTTGTTGTTGTTGTTGTTGTTTTCAGAAAAGAAAAGATTCTGGGAAGGAGAGTTGAATCACTTAAATCTAAAAAGAAGATCCCCAGCAGATTCCCCAGTGGTAGTAAGGTCCTGCCAAGACCAAAGGAAAGGGCTGCCAGAAGCCTGCGGGCCTGGGGGGCCAGGGGAGCTCAGCCACCATCCCCCCCCCCCCCCCACGCAGCCTCTGCAGCGCCCCTCCCTGTGAGCGGAGCGCGCCCTTCCCGGCAGACCACGCTAACAGGCTACCTGCTGCTGCCCTCGGCCTTAGCCCGAACGGGGTGCCCTGCTGAGACAGAGGTAATAGCTGCTAAATTAGAGGAGCCAGGAGGCAAGGCTCTGTTTTGATTCTGGAGGAAACTATGCGAACCTGAAGAATCTGCCTGGTCCCCGGATGCGGAGGTTTGGGGCTGCGGGTCATACGGTCCCATAGATTCTGCTGAGCTTTGCCCCACACTGACCCTCAGAGGCCCGGAGAGCGTGGTGGGGGTGGGGGACGGGGGTTGCTGACAGGCACAGGGCTACACTCCCCCACGGAGAAAATCCAGAGACTCCTACAGATCCTGGGGGTTGAGAGGGAAGGCGGGGTGGGGGGGGCGGACAGCCGGGAGAATCCGTCAGTGACTCTAAAGCAGTGAGAGCTCCTGCAGGGTCTGTGCATCCCAGGGCCTTTGCCACCAAGGACAGCCTGCAGGACAGTCCCTTCACACCACCAGGGTTCTATGCGCCACAGAGCCCCGCCCCTTCTTTACAGGCAGCTGTACTTGGAAGCGAATGATTTAGTGTTCCTGAGAGAGGATTGTACAAAGACAGTCCTCATTAGAGGGGACCCAATCTGTCAGGTGCTGTTAAATTAGGATAGGAGAGTCATCCGAAAATGACTTTCATCCTGGTCTTGGTTGATAATTAAGTGGATGGCATCGTTTGCATACTGAGGAGCCATGAGGCGCTGATGTATGCACCCGTTTAATTATCCGAGCTGAACGACTGTTCCTGGTCTCCACATCCACTGCCTGCGTGATACATTTCTCCCCCAGATTTCTGACATTTGGATTTTCCCCTACTAATTGACATGCTTGTCGCCTCCTTCTCCTGGTGTCCATTTCTGGAACTGCTATTTGTATATAGCATGATCTTTTATCAGAAAAAAAAAATAAAACTGAGATCCAATTTCATGAAAATGCTGTTGCCTTAATGCCCAGGAGAACTGGGGGAAGAAAGAGATTCAAGTCTTCTTAATGTCTACCTTATACGCAGGTACATTTTAAAAGTTCTATTGTATTCTGACTTCTTAAGCAGTGCCTGTTTTTTTTTCCTTTTTCCATTTAGCTTTCATTGCAGAGGGGGTGGGGAGAAGGAGGCAGACAGAAACTGGGATGAAATTAATATTTATCAGGGTTATATGTTTCAGAATGATATTATAACCCTTAGATTTCATAGGTATAAAAAAATAGAACCAGTCATTGGATTCTATTCCCTTGATAAGTGTTTTCCTGAGAGAGATTTCTATATATTGCAATGATGGTTTCAATGCGTTTCAATCTTTTAATCTCTACCAAAGAAGGTTGCCTAAGACAGGGGTGCTTAGGAATCTATTACTAATCAGTTTCAGACTTGACTTAAATACTTCGTGCTCTGAAATTCTGGAATGGAAGCCTTCCCATCTTGTGCATGAGCAGGTAGAGCGTGCATTTAGACAGGTGCACATGGGTTCCTATAGCGCATTACCTATCTAGATATAGTGGATGGCATTGCTAACCTCTCATTACCTACTCTCTGACATTTTTTTTCATCTTCTGTGCTATTTTTTCTCTGCTTAGGCTTGTGAGCAAGGCTTGTATCACAGCCTGCTCTGCCTGTGTAAGTCACTAAGAAAGTCCCACGCAAACCCATGTGGGTGATAATATTTCATCAATTAAACCTCTGTGATATTGGTGGACACATACCAAAGGAAGAATGGAAAGTGCATTAAAATGGGTAGGAGGGGTAAATTTTGCACCTCATAGTGAGCACCTCTGAAAGATTTCTGGGCAGGAGGAGTTGGAGAAAGACCCGTAGAAGTCAGAAGTAAAAATAAAATTGTTTTTAACAGCTCATTTCTGGAGGCTGGGCTGGGGGTATCAAGATTAAGGAGCCACATCCCTTGTTCTTTTTCTCCCCTGGTCCAGCATGTAAACTTCTGCTCATCCTTCAGTCCAGCACCTCAGATTTGTGGCCATGTGGATATCTGCAGTGAAATCAGACATATACACATGCAGTTTTTGCTTTTTGTTTTGTTTAGTTTCCATCGACAGGTCCTGCTGATAATGATGCTCTTCTGCATATGGGTAGCAATTACATCACTAATGTGGAAAGCTTTGTTGTTTATAGAGGGTTTTAATTCACTGGGAGAGGGGGAGATTTTGCTATAAAATGTGACTATTGCTTTTATCTTCATTCTTCACCCAATAAGGTTTCACTATACCTAGATATGGGATAGTCACTTGTACTAAAAGAGAGAGCTACATACAGCATGCGCGTTCTCTGAGACACTAGCTCTCTCTCTGGATGGTGTGAGGGCTTGGACATAAGGCAGAAACTGAGGCCTTAAAGGTTATTCCTCTGCTAATCTTGAGTAGAAGATCCTGCCTGGAGTAAAATCACAGGTTTGGTCATACATTATCTTCATTGGGTTTTTTTTTTAGCTTTAGTATCTTTTCTTAGTATTTGTTATTAAATTGTAAGCGCTCAGTTGCATTCTTATATCTTTCATTTAAAAGGTGATGAAAAATAAGGTTAAATGTTTACAGAAAAAAGGGGTGTTAGATTTCAAAAGAAAGTAAAAAATTCTTAAGGTTCAACCCACAGAATTTCAGATATTTCTTTCAAAGTTCCTGGGAACTTGTACACTTGATTCTTGATCTATGAGCCAGTTCAGTATGGAGAAATCTGAACTACAGCTGAGAGATCATACTTGATTATGTTTTAGCAGAGACAGGCCAAGACAAATACAGGTTTCACACACAAAGAATGCCTTGGAAGGCATTATCCCTGTTCTCCAAATATTAAAACAGAATTTCAGCCTTGACACCCACCCCTACTTCAAAAGCACCTAGTCCACAGGCCCAAGTCACTGTGCATTACTTTTCACAGTTTTCCTCCACCATTTCTCTCTGTACCCTTAACTCAGAGACAAGCACACATTCTGAAATGGCATGCCATGCTCCCACAAGGCGTTAAATAAATAGCCCTTTTTCTCTCTCTTGGAAGTCACTTGTCATTTGTCGCTGGTGAGAGTGTTGATAAGACAAGCAAATGAGACAGCAATATCGGGAGATGGAAGACATTTTTGTAAAAGCCCAGACAACCGTATTAGGCAGAGCTGTGCGAGCAAATCAGTCCTGCTGATGATTCACAGTCACATTTCTCCACACTCTGCTTTGTTTGCTTCTAAAATGCATCACTTCTGTATCTTCTATGGACCTCCAGAAAGCTCACATGCATTAATACATGACAGGTAGTTATGCTCCTCCAGTCCCATAAAATCCTAACCTGTCTAGGGGATGAGAAGAAGCCAGAGGTAACTAACTGACAATCACCAATAGGGCACTACAGAGGGGTTTTCAGTAGGTGAAACTGGTAAGGAGCAAAGAATGCGCCCTCTTGTGGCCAATCAAGCTCTAACATCTTAGGGATCTTTGCTGAGGGGTAATTGACAAGTAAGTTCAAAAGCCTGGAGTGGAATGGTGGGGTCAGCCCCTCTTTGAACTGCCTTTTTTTCGGGTGTATGGAAAGAATAGTGCAAGCAAGTCTTCTTAGACCCTTGTTTGACAATAGTACATTTCTTCACTCTATAACTAGTTTCCCCAAAGAGGGGAGGTTTTGAATAGCACCTTGAATAGGCCAGCATTTTCTACTTCTTGAGGGTTCATTTATTTTATTTTCCCTAACTGTTCTTTGGTAGGCGTTATCAATTACTATGATAATTACCATAATCAGCATCCGAATTTGGCAGCATACAGAAACTTATAATACTTCGACCAGCTATTATCATGGATAAAAAAGGTTGAAATAAGACATAATAATAGTCAAGAGGGTCATTTATTTTAGCTTCACTACTTTGATACCCGGCTTAGCTCTAGCCATTCCTTCTTTTCTTTTTCCTTTTCTTTAAGGTCTTAGGTTAAACACATAAGATAGAAAGAGAGAAAGAAAGAAAGAAAGAAAGAAAGAAAGAAAGAAAGAAAGAAAGAGAAAAAAGGAAACAGAGAAAAGGGTGATAACTTAGTGAACAATGTTGGGTGTTTGTATAAAAAGAAACTCGTTTATATGTGTTGGAATAAATCTCAGGCAACCTAAGTGCGATCCCTGGCAGCTTTGTAATACTCATATGAGCTTTACAAAGATAGGGAGCTCTATTCAATTGCACTTAACCTTTTGCCATCTCTCAAGCTTTATGTCTTTTTAGAACTGTATTCAACTATCGAAGAGAATAGAGGCAAAATTATACAGGTAGCCTTAATTTAAGGTAACTCCGGGTTGAAAGGTCTATTTAAGGGTATGTTTCATTAATTTGCAAGAAGGTGACACTTATAGACTGGATTCTATGCTCTACAAAATACTTATAAGGAAAAAGAATGAATGTCCTTAGCCAGTATTCAAAAAGCATTGGTGTTTAACACAGTTTGAATATATTCAAGTTTGAATAATGCCAACAACAGCAAGACAGTTATGTATTCATTACAGTCATTCAAATGATATAGCTCTTTCCTTGGTTAACAAAATCAGCTACCAAACACTCACTTTGTACCCTTCTTGAGAAGTGGGTTCAAATATGTAAGTCAAATGAGTCACCTCTTAAAGGAAAAACAATTTCCTTTGAATTAAATCCCTAATAGAAAAGTTAAAATGGCAATTATATAAATATATGTGTGTATATATATATGCACAAAGGTAAACTGCTATAAAAATGTAAGTGGCTAAATTTTTACACTCAAGAGTCACTGAATGCTAAAGGAACAGTTTGCTAGAAGACAGAGAAGTCAGAAATGGTAACGGTTAAATCACCAGCACCAGGTGTATATTAAAAATACCCAATGCATAGGCTTACTAAGTCATGTGATATGGGTAAAGCCAATTGAAATGCTGTAATTAAGGCTGTCATATATGGCAGTTGGCATATAAAAACATATAGGGAGGTCCCTTTTTGTGTCCGGCCATGAAGTCAACCTCCAGATCCCTAGAATCTATTCCCTGCACAGGACTCAGCATCATTAAGCATTATCTGGCAATCAGGCAAAGTTGAGAGAAATTGGATGGCAACTTTCAAATTTCAGCCTGCTATAGTTGCTCCAGAAGTTTTGTAAGGTAAAGTCCTAATTGTCATGCCATTTACATTGCACTAAAGAGCTTTAGGGAAAGAAAGAAGAGTCCTCGAGAAGGTCTTTTAAGAGGAGTTTAAAAGAAAGAACTTCAGGTGAGAGCTACAGTGGTCTTGTAGGAAGCCCCCAGGACAACTGACTTCTCCTGAGGGGGAGGCTCCCAAACCAGTAGGCTCTGTTCACCCCCAAGGGTGTCCAGGTCTAGCACAGTTTTCTTGAAACAGAACATCTGAGTCAACAGGTTTTCAGGATTGGAAATTCTGAGTATTGCCTTAATTGTTTATACTGCTGCGGCAAACTTTTAAACAAAAATGCTGGGAGTCCCTGCACATACTTTACTGGCCATATGTTCTACCAAACAAAACAATGGCATTCCTTTCCAATGGGTTTGGCAAGGAGCATGAATCTTTAGCCTGGTATTACCACGAAAGTAACATGCATTATCCCTGGAGTATGCCTGAGCAGGCACGGGCTTGTGGGCCTGAGAAGGGTCTGGGTCACATAACTGTCAACCTGCTGTTGCTCTGTGACCTGCAGTGCTCACGGCACTGAGCACGGGAAGGCAGCAACAGGTCCGAGGAGCTCTGAGCCAAGGCTTCCCATCTATTTGTCAAGTTCTTCCTCTTAAGGCGCGAGCCGCCTCCTGGAGTCTCAGGGAGCTCGACAGGGTTGCATTCCCGGGCAGGAGCGCTCGGGAACTTCACAGAGAACAAAACTCTTCGCCCCTTTTGGCTCAGAGAGCGGCAGTGTCCCCGCAGTGACTGCGGAGTCCGAGCCGGCTGCCTTTCCCGTCCAGCCAGCGCGCCTGGACGCGTCTCGGGGGTTCCAGCGGCAGGCGGCGGCCGCCCCCGGCCCTCCCCGGGCTCCTGCCCGCACTCTGCTCGGACGGCGCTTCGGGTGCCACCCCACCTGGCCGCGCACCCCCGCCGAGCCGGGGGACTCCCCGCCCGCTCCCGCCGGTCCGGCGCCGTCCCACCGACCTGCCTCGGCGAAGGTGATGATCTCCGACGTCTGCTCCATGAGCTCGTTCATCTCCGCCCGCCGGCCGATGTCGTCCTCGATCTCCACGTAGCCGTCCTCGCCCACCTTGCCCACGTGAAGCTTGCGGATGGCGTTGAGCAGGGCCGCCTTGGGCACCGGCTGCAGCACCTCGGGCCTCTTCTTCAGATGGAGCATGTTCAGGATGTGCTTCTTCACCGCCTCCACCATCTCGGGCTGCGCGCTGGGGCCGGCCCTGGGCAGCGCGGCCAGCGCGCAGGAGGGGCAGTCGGCCGGGCTGGGGGAGCCGCGCACCGCCACCCAGCAGCTGGCCAGCAGCAGCCCGCCGAGCCCGAGTAGCGGCATCCTGGCGGCCCTCCTGCCGGGGGTCACCTCCTGCCGAGGCCCTGCGCCGCCGCCCCCTCGCACCGGGGCCGCTGGGTGCTGTCTGGGCGCGGGGGGGTGTGTGTGCCGCTCCTCCTGCTCAGCAGATCCGCTGGAACGAGAAGAAAAAGTTTGCTCTGAAGTTTTGTTTGCAGGTTCCCTCGGAAGGCAGTCGGTGCCGTAGGTTTGTGGCTGTCAGGAAGGAGAGTTCTGTCTCCGAGTAAGAGAGGGAGGGAGGGAGGGGAGGGAGGGAGAGAGGGAGGGAGGGAGGGAGGGAGGGAGAGAGGGAGGGAGGGAGGGAGGGGAGACAGAGACACAGAGAGGATGGGAGGGAGAGAGACAGGGAGAGAGGAAGAGAGGGAGAGGGAGGGGAGAGAGGGGGAGAGAGAGAGAGAGAGGGAGAGAGAGGGAGGAAAATGATTGGCCCCGAGTGAGTGAGTGAATGGGAGAGGGAGGGAGTTTGTCTGTGAGTAAAGGCTGTGATTAGGAAGGGGAGGGACGGCGGCTCTCTGACAGGCTGCCTGCCTTCTGCTCGGCTCCCTCACACACCTCTTTGCAAATAGCACCGTTCTTGGGAGTTCTACTTTCCCTTCAGAAGACATCCTCCTCACTTCGCCTCTTCTCTCTCTCTCTCTCTCTCTCTCTCTCTCTCTCTCTCTCTCTCTCTCTCTCTCTCTCCCTCCCTCTCTCTCTCTCCCTCTCTCCCTCCCTCCTTCTCTCTCTTCCCCCTCTTCCTCGCTCCCTCTCTTTTCTCTCTCCCCTCTCTTCCTCACTCTCTCCTCTCTTCCTCTCTCCTCTCTCTGTCCTCTCTTCCTCTCTGTCTCTCTCCCTTCTCTCTCTCTATTCCTCTCTCCTTTCTCTTTCCTCACTCTCTCTGTATCTCCTCTCTCTCTTCTCTCCCCTCTCTGTCTCTCTCTCTTGTCTCTCTGTCTCTGTCTCTGTCTCTGTCTCTCTCTCTCTCTCTCTCTCTCTCTCTCTCCCTCCCTCCCTCTCCCTCTCCTCTCTGTGTGTGGGCTTGCAAAAGTCAGCCTTGCCTGCATCCTGCAGAGTGGGGGGCAGGGTGACAGGAGGGCTGGCCAGGTAGCAGAGCAGTAAAGAGGGTCCAGGGATCCAGGGGCCCAATTGCAGCTGGGGGCCGCCTAAGGTTAGGGCCCCAAGAAGAGGAGTGCCCCCAGCCCATTCATTCATATTTAAATGCCCGGTGCCCTCCTCCCGTGCTGGCCCTTAATACACTCTACTTTTCCCGACTGCAGAACGCAGCTCTGCCGCCGGCAGCCTGTCCCCCGCCCGCCGCTGCCGCCCCCTTCTGCCCTGGCCAACACACAGCGCCTCAGCCTCGCGGCCGCCCTGACTGCACCGAGCAGCAGCAGAACTCCTCGGCTGTCCTGCATTGTTTGATGCAGATAGTGAGCCCCTAGGCTTGAGTAACTGCTCCCCTGGGGAAAGACTCTCCTAGAATATATTTGGAAATTCTTGCCTCTGCATTCTGGGGAGCGCTTTAGCTTGCCCCCAATTCTGTCCAGGACTAGTATATTCATGAACTGGCCGCCTTGGCAGCTTCTCCCTCCCTCAAGGAAGCAGCACAGATGAAATCATCATGAATTTCAGTGTTCACAGAAAAAGAGAAATGTGAATTTTTAAACAATGCCTCTCTGAGTCCCCCCTCCCCCCTTTTTCTTCATTTTCTGTCTTCTGCCTTTATCTTGAAGAAGTATCTTTAAGAGGCCCATCTGTTAAAGCTTTTCTTCCCTCTCCGTTTCTTTCCCACACATAAGCCCTCTCAATTTCTGTAGATACAGTTAGTTTATATCTGACACATAGTACGTTTAGACCTTGATAGTCAAGCATTGTAATTTGGGTGGAAAAAAAGTTAATAAGTATATCATTAAGTACAAGCTCAAGGTCTGAGGGCAAGAGATATAGAATGAAGAAAATTGTTACGCTAAATTAGAATTACAGTTTTCTCCAGTAACAATGTTTTTCTGAATTGTATCTACTCCCCCTTTCCTCAAACAACTCCCTGAAATATCTCTTTCTATTACAAGCCATCAATTATTTTCCTGATTTCACCTCCAAGAACATCAATTACCCTGCTAGCATTGTTAAGATTTTGTCATTTTCCCTAAAGTCAAAATGTTAAAGTGTAGTATAGTGAAAGAGAATGAGGAAGGGGTGCACATGTATAATAATTGTTTAACAAAAGATCTTTAAAGTATAATACTTAATATCATCTACCTATTCAGCATCACATTATGCAGTACCCAAAGCATTTTGCAGTCCAATTAAGTTTTACAAGAGAGTCTGAAATAGAATCAAAAGTTTAATGACTCCAAACAACTCCAGTCCCAATAGCATTTAGGTAAGTGCAACTTAGCAGTATTCTGATTCTTTCCGTGTGTGAGTTTGTGTGTGATCCCTTAATTTGCTGTTTCTGAATGTAACTCTTTAAAAATAGCTTTTTCTCTGGCATGTTACCTTGTCTATATGTGCTGAATGGTTTGTAAAAATGCATAATACATTTGCATGCTCTGCTTTTAAAAGCTGCATTAACCTGTCTGAAGAATAGATAAAGGCACAAGTCATAATCTGCTTGAAAGTGCCAATAAGTGGCCAAATTCTTCCAGATCACTCTGATTCTGGATGTGTAAATAGCTCATAAGCAAGAGTTGAAAATCATTACCTTTCCGGTGCTGGTGCTGTCTCTGTCACCAGCAGGCTCCGCTGTCATGTGGTAAGAGCTGTCTGAGTCCCTCTTCATGGTATTGGCACTGGCAAGTTTTATACTGTACTACTTATTTGTACACTCACTGGTACCACTCAAACAGAGGAGGGCTGGGGCTTTGTTTGGGATTGGTTAGAATCAGCCATGACATCAGCAGATGACTGGCTTTCCCAGAGTGAGGCATATTTCATAATTCATTATCTAATGGAAAGGCTGTCTTAACTGCTGTGACACCACTGGGGATCACTGAGCCAGTTAAACCTCTGACAAACTAACTTACCTTCTAGAAAAATACTGGAACCAAGCTCATCTGTCTCACTGAGTGTCCAACTTTGAACTTGTCTTTTATACACACTTCACACACACTCCTCATTTTATATTCAGAGTCAGTTTAGTCTCTCTACAGAAAACATGTGTTTCTTCATGAAGCTACCTCTACTTAAAAAGTATTTTATTGATTTTTACAGGGAAGAAAATTCACAGTGCTCTTTAATGGAGATTATAATTTGAGGTCCTTTTAAAACAAACTATTTCAGTGGGAAAATAAATTTACCTTTTGGATGACTGTCTCCCCTCTCTGACTTGCACTATTATTTTACATCTTGAAATTGAATGCCAGCTTCATAAATCATTTATCCTTAAGAACTTTGGGAATAGTCATTCTCTGTTAGTGAGAGTTGTATCCTTCTTAATGTCTTTAGAATTCCAATCTAACTAGAAAAGAAAAAAAGAAAAAACTTCCAAACTCATATCAGAACTTCATGTCCTATGATTTCTCATTTGTTACAAATATCACACGAGAGTAATGAAAAAAAGTGAAAAAAGTGAGTGTTCCTTGACTTCTAGAGACTAAGTTGGTAGGGTTTTTTTTGTTTTGTTTTGTTTTGTTTTGTTTTGTTTTTTGGTGGAGGGGTTGGTTTTTGTTTTTGGAATGGCTGGGGTGTTGCTTAAGAAGGCTGGGAAGTAACACAGGAAGAAGGGCTCCAGACAGGAATGGCTCTGATGAAGGGCCATTTAAAGGAGTAGAGCTGAAGTATAAACTGGGTACTCGTGACAAGTTGGATAAAATGTGCAAAATTGGTGGCTAATGAAAGCCATATGACTAGATACGTTGTTTTGTATGCAGGGTTTAACATGCATAAAATAAACTTTTCACTGTGCCCACAAGCAAAATATACAGTCTCTGGCCTCCTGACGTCTAAGTGAAGCAGGTTTCTGGAGATTTCTGTGTAAGAGGGTCCCTCCAGCTCAGCCTGGACACCAGTGCCTGTGGCTGCAGTCCATGGGGAGGAGAGTTCTAAGAAGTGGACGTGCAGAAATGAAGTGGGGAATAAAATAGAGTGACTCTACTGCAGCAGAGGGGGTCTGAGAAGCAGAGCTAAGGGGCATGAGTGTGGGCTGGCTCCGGACCCGTGTCAGCTAAGGCTCCGTGGCGGCGCTCCCGTGCCCGTCTCCCACGCAGGAACTCTGGCGTCCCAGGCCGGGCTGGGGCCGGTCCCCTCGGCCAGGAGTGTGGGGGGTGCCCGTGGCAGGACCTTGCGTCAGCGGCCGTGCAGCCCCGCGGCCCCGGGGCAGGAGGTGGGGGGAGGGGGGCACGGGCAGGGGGTCGAGCTCTCGAGTCCCTCGGTGGGAGGGGGATGGGGGGGGCATCGGCAGGACTCGGCGCGCGTCGCCACGGGCCGCCCCGACTCCCGCGTCCTGGCCCTCCCCGCGGCGTCCCCGCGGCCACTGTACCTTGAGCAGCACCTGCTGGCAGCTCCCGGGGATCACGCCGGAACCAGAGCCGCAGCCCGGGAGCCGCGCCCGCGCCGCGCCCGCGCCCGGCCCGCGCCCCCGCGTCCACCTGCGCGGCCGCCCGGGGCCCGCCGCGCCCGGCCCGGCCCGGCCCTGCCCCCGACGCCTCGGCCCGGGCAGCGCTCGCGCGGGGGCCGGGAGTGCGGCACCTCCACTGTAATTGCGAGGCGCGGCGTGCCAGGGATTTATATTTAGAAGTTGCATGTTTCTACTTTTATGTAAATGGAGCAATTAGGGCCCGTCTTGCCGCTAACTCGGGGCGCGCGCCTCGCGGGGAGCCGTGTTTTCCATCACAATTAGCGAGCCGGTCACACACCAAAGTTCGTCTAAGGATAGGAGAGTCCGCGAGCGCGGGCCGGCCGCACCGGGTCTCGTGGCGCCCGCCGCAGGCCACGGCCCCCGCGGCCCCCGCTCTCCGTGGGCCAGGCGGGCCAGGGGAGACAGGAAGGGCCCGCACCGGGTAACCCCCCTCCCAAGCCGAGCGCGCGCCCCGGCGCGGTCCCCGGGCCGAGAGCTGCTCTCAGCATCAGGCCTGCAGCGGGGCCGGCTCTGCGTCTCTGCTGTTTTAGGTGCTATTCTGCAGGACTGTTATTCACGCAGAGGAGTCTCGGCAGGTGACAGGGGAGTCTCCTGACTTAGCCGCAAGGGCAGGGGCCTGGGAGATCCCGGCACAGACCAGGCTGCTGACAACTTGCTGTGCTTTAGTTCCTTCCTCTGAAAAAATCTGTTTCCCAAAAAGCATGATTCTGGTTCATCCCGTCTGGGAAACTGAACATAAAACGTGACTATGGAGAGAAATCAAAAGGGTTCAAGGTGTTCTCATCTCAGCACCTGGCGTATTCTTCTGGGCGCCAGGCAGGAAAGCTCGGCCTGGGTGGTGAGCTGAGCCTCCCTGGAAAAGAAGCTCAGAATTCAGAAAATGTGAGCAGGATTTAGGGAGACTGGCTGCAGCGAGATTCCAGGAGTCTCACCAAATGGTTTCAAGGGCAATGGGATTGGCAAAGAAGCCGTTTTCCTGGACAGTAAGCCTGCCCATTGCCTTGGTGTATGATAGCTGGGGAGACAAGGTAGAATCAGCATTTCCCATTCCAGTGTGAACAGGAAAGCTGTTTGCTTTTAAGTTCAATCTGTGAAGCAATAGATCTGAATAGAGAAGGAGAAGGAAGTAGTAAAATTCCACCAAAATCCATCCGAAAACAACAGAGCCAGAAATAGTTTATCCAGAGCTCTATTGCTAAGCCATACATTGCTCTAAGAACAGTCTCCCACAACTCTTTGTGCTATATATAAGTGCTGTTAGCAGAGTATTTGGAAATGCTTTATCTGAACCAAGGGACCCAGATGCCAGTACTAAAATGATTAGGAAAGGAAAACGGAAGAAACAAAAACAAACCCCAATAAATTATTATTTCTCAGTCTAGAATAGTACATTTGCATTTGGGTGTCTCTACTTCCCCAAGAGTCTCTGAAGACATTTTTGCTTGGCATCAAGCAAAAAGGGAGGGAGGGAGGCATTTCATGAGTGGAGGATATGGGTGCGACTCTCCCCACTACCATACACAGGAACTTCGCCAAAACAAAGGATCTGGTCCCAAACGCGAATTGCTAAAATCGAGGAAATCCCAATTTCAATTTTGAAGTTTTACCTAACTTCCTTTCCATTCCTGTTCCAGGGCCTTCAAAATGATACAAATTATCCATTTAAGTGAGTCTCCTCATTAAGTCTGTCCTTCCCCATTAAAGGAAGCTTCCCACCCCAACACTGCAAATACTGATATACCAAGAGCAACTGGACAGTAATTTTGTTATCAGTCTGACCAGCCTTCCAGTATGTCCTCAGTAGATTTCCTGCTGGTTTCGTATTATTCTAACCAAAAGCAACATCTTGGTGACCAGCTGAAAAAAAGAGAGATGAGCTGGCCCACATCCAATCTCGCAGGAGGCAAGTCTCATGGAAAGCATAATGAAGAACCGAATTACTCATTTTAGCAATTGCGTATCAGATAAATCCAAGCCATGAAGAATCCCCTGAAGAAAAATCCACAGAAGTGAAATGACCATGCTTCTCTCCCAGAGCAAACAAATAATGATGTAGCTTGATTTCATTTGTTTAACGCCTTAGGGGAATGACACACAATCAATATTCAAAGAGATAAAACAGAGGGCTTTGCTAAATTCAAATGAATGTTCCACATAAGACTGTCTGCTGCAAAATTCCTTTTTTGCCTTTTTTTAAAAAGAAAGTAGATGACTGTTCCAGGAAGGTCCTGCCTCTCCTGTGAGAACCGAGAGAACAGCTGTCAAAAATCACATCATGGATAATAATTATAACAATGATCAAGAAAAGTTTGTACAGTTTGAAAAAAAAAAAGAATCTGCCTGCATCAAACTAGCCCACAGGGAAATGGTCTCTGTGATGAATGAAGACACTGGGTCCTGGCTTAGACCCCAAATGATGAGGATCTTATGAGAGGGTGAGGGTTGGCAGAAAACGGTTAGGATAAAGAAAGCTACAGGGAAAGTCTGAGACTTCCTGGTGCCGTCTCAGTAGAACCAAGATGGGAATCATAGTTTCCTCAGGTAAATGGTCATTTTGGAACCAGCGGCTTCAACCTCCCAATGATTCATAAATGCCTAGATTTCTTCCCAAAAGGTAACCACTTAGTACTTGTGAAAAGTTCACTACATGGAGAGAAGTCATTATCCATAACTATTATTGGAAAACATATTTTAAAAAGCCAATACTAACTCAAGCAGAATAAATACACTCCTAAAGGCCTTTTGGACCAGCACATATATCAAAATCATTTATCGAAACTCAATTCTAATCTAATCAGAAGACATTGGCTACAGTAGTTGACCATCCTACTGCCCCAGAAGGTTATGAAATATACTCATAAAAATATATAACAAATTGTTATAATATTTTTCTCACCTGGGGCCCCTTGGATAATAAGTTCCATGTTGCTGACTTGAGGATATTTAGGTTTAGCATATAGATTCCATTGGATTGACAAGAGCAGGAATCGATTCTAATCCAGTCTTGCCTAGATGTCCCCAAGAACTGTACCCACTTAATCCTTTCCATTTGGAAGGGAAGACACAGGAAAGGCTAGGTGCAGTTCCATCGGTATTTTTTAACAGTGCACAGTTGCCTCCCTCAAGTGCTGATAGCAAGTCCAAAGGTTGGGCCTCTCTCTGGGAGCACCGCCCAAGGCATGGCCAGCCCTACTTCCTGGGCACTGTGGACTTTCATGAACACTGACAGTTCACTTTGGCAGTGTCATCTCAGTTAGTAAATATTTCCAGATACCCCACTCTAGCTTTAGGAAGGTCAAGTTTACAGAGGTGAAATAGTAAGCAGGACTTCTGTTAGCTTTGCTTAGCTTAAAACGGAAAACTAGAATTAAGATCCTGATCCCAAGAGTTTAACTGGATTCTAAACTAGCTGTCAACTTTCAAAAAGTGAGTTATGGCTATATTCCCTTTTCTTAGGACTCATTTAGTTCCTTTTTAAAGATGATGGAATGATAGTGAATAAAGAAAGAATTGTTACATTCAAAGCTAAAAGCCCTCTCTCCCTAAAGCCAGGGATAAGGTTTGATCACTTAATGAACAAAGGCAAAAAGCCAACAACATCGTTTTGACTAATTTCAACATCATTTAACCATGAAATAAAAGTGATTAAAATGGTGATCATTGTAGAAAACAGTTCATTCAATAAGTTTCTAAAATTTTAAGAAACTTTTGCTTTATTAGATGCTGTTAGCTTCATGTTAGTCACAGGGAGAAAAAAATGCCCACATACACACGCACGACTAAATGTAGTCAGTTTGCTCAGCTGCTGCTGACGTCACTGCTGCCCACTAGGAGCAAGTTACTGTAATGATCTCCCTTTTATTAATCATAGGCTGGAGGAAGCAGAAAGTGGGTGACATCATTAGGCAAAGGACTGGCTAACTCATGCTCCAATTCACTCAGAT